TATTTTTGCCTACAAAACAATTGAGAATACATATGCAGTCTTTATGATTTATGTATTAAAATGTTATCCATAATGCATTTATATACATATTACATACATATTTATTTATTGATCCTTGTAGTCATGGGGTTAGAATCTAGAGAGAAACCCACCTTGTTGTGCGGGAGATCCGATATCAGAGTCTGTACCGTCGCTGCTTGAGCTGACACTGTCCACCCAGGCGCTGCAAGCATCCTCAAACTCTGACATGAAGATATCTTCTTCTGTGAACAGCATGTTAACGGATCCGGTAAGGTCTCGGTAAAACGAGAGGGAAAACGTTGCTAATTTCCGTTATTAAGAGCAGGTCCAGAGGTAATTAACCGACCAATCAATTAAGTGATTGATCAATCTACAAACAGATAATCAAATTAGTATTCAATTAAATGTGGGGATTCCCTTGAAGTGGTGAGGAGTGGTGAAGATAAGTCCTCCGCTGTATGCTTGCTGTATTCCGTTAGGATGTGTCTGAATGATAACGGTTGCTCTGCACCTCTCCGTTTTATACTTTTCTGGCTGCTAGGTAACCCCTCCTCCCGCCATTGGTTCGACGTCCATGAGGATTCCCCCGCTGCGTAGAATCATGCCCAAACATGGACAGAGGATATGACGCAGGGTATCCCCCTGCCTTATAAGGACACACGGGTGCGTGACGTAGAAGAGGGGATTCTCTTGAAGATCTGTGTTCTGTGCTGAAACCCGGAGCAGAGAGAGAGAGAGTGGTTACACAACACGTAGCAGGTTAACCTACACGTCGCTTTGAAGGGCGTGCTACTGTCTGTTTGAATGCCGTGCCACTGTCTGTTTGAATGCAGGTGGACAGTAATGATGCCCATTTAGAGGACGAAACACACATTCGGCTTCCCCTCCATGAGATGCAACACAGATACAAACACAAAGTTACACAACACTTGATGCTACGCCTAATGATGTTCAATGAAACATGAATAATAATCAACATCTGTCCCCCCCCCCCTTATAATTAGCATCTGGTCAACAGGAATGAATCACCTGCATGTTATTATGAGCATCACCGGGCTTGTGTGTGCGTGCGTGCGTGTGTGTGTGTGCGCGCGCAGTGGCGCAGTGGAAACAGGACTGTGGACTATAATGGGATTGGTGGGGTGGCAGGTAGCTTAGTGGTTAAGAGCGTTGTAACCGAAAGGTCGCTGGTTCTAATCCCCCGAGCCGACTAGGTATGAAATCTGCCGATGTGCCCTTGAGCAAGGCACTTAACCCTAATTGCTCTTGTAAGTCGCTCTGGATAAGAGCGTCTGCTAAATGACTACAATGTAAATGTAAAATGGATCTGCTGCAGGAATGTGAGACAGTAGTGGCAACATATTCTCCCTTACCACTCCAAGTAAACTGCCATTAAATAGTAAACTGCTGTAATGACAATATGCATTTAGTTGAATGAGCCCCGATCTTGGTTTGAATGGCAGTCTGTTTGCATAACGTCTGTCTTCACAGCCAGTTCCGTTTGGCTGCAGCTCAGCCTTCACGTTCAGCACCATAGGCAGCGTACTGGACATGCAACACGCTGCAGGGAAGCGCAGATGGTAATGTTTGTGTGTGTGTGTGTGTGTGTGTGCGTGTGTGCGTGCGTGTGTTAGAGAGACAGAGAAGGGGAGGGGAGTAAGCGCTCAGCTTTATCTGCAGAATGCTTCATACCATTAGAAGGAGATGCATGGACCCACAGCCATCTAGCTCTGAATGATGTGTCAAACTGGAAGCAATGCATTACAGTCGGCCAGCCGAACTAAACATGCACATTATTTTATTTTTTAAAACACCTGATCTGACTCGTAAACCATTGAGACTGCTGCTCACAGCGTGTGTCACGAGAATATTGCATAGCTTTCCGTATCATTCGTCTCCCCGTGGAAATATATAGAAATATATGCAAAGGAGAAAGAATCGTGAATCTGTTTAATGCGTCATAATGCGACAGTACTCCCCATCGGTGGGTCTCCCTCTCTCTCCTCGACAGATAGACTACAGCCACATGGTGCGTGAGGATTTTATTGGCTCAGTGATTTTGGAATCCATTTATTGACTGCGTGGACTCAGTTAATTAAAACCCAATTGAACAGTTACCCTGCAACTCGAACTTAACAATCACCCGCATTAATATAGAACGAAGGCAAGATAACGTTGTGTAAATGGTTATGCTTATACAACACCGGTTTGGTCCACCCGGGGACAGATATTGTATAAAGGCAACCAAATGGTGCTTAGAATGAGCGCAAAGTCCCAATTATTGAATATGCACTCTCGAGCTGATGCGAGATCAGTTTTGAGATCATCATGGATTTCCGCATTCGCTCTCCACGGAGCTTGTTACACAACTGAGTTAGTTACAGTCAATCAATTCACAGTTTGACTGACTAGATACGAAGGTCCTGCATTTATTAGACACGGCTATTTGTCTAAATCTGCATATAGGACAGGTCTATTAAAACGTTACATTAAAAGCCCAACTCAGCAGCAAGCTAACAACTACCCTCCACATAACCACGCTGCATGTTGCCTGTTCATATCGCAACAGCCGTCACGTTACAGTGAAACAAAAGAGGTGACAACCTGTCTTCCCACTACCCCGACAGAGTGCAGAGAGAGTGACAGATGGAGTGATAACAGCCCTGCCCAGTCAAAGTCTTTTAATGACACTAGCCAATCAAATTGTCGGGAGGAGACCATACAAGCCGCGGTTAGCTCAACTATTAACGCACAATACGCGACATTTACAGGCTTTCCTCTTGACAGGTGTCACGTCAGAAAACACCCCAAACCGTCAACGAGATAAAAGGACTGAAACCCGCTTGGATCTATGAAGAATAGCTGTACGAGGACATCCGTATTTTATAATGCTTAAAATAGAAAGATTTCACTCATTATTATTATTAGTATATCATTCAGTTGTGACGTGTTTTTGGATTCACTCAGAAGGGGAATGTTCCAATTCTAGAACCAGAACCATCTGGGAGTTCTAATATTGGAGAGAGAGGAGCTGTGACATTATTCATGTGTGGAGGTGGGGTGGGAACAACTCTGAGTCTGTAACCATGGTGATACTGGCAAGATGAGTGTTCATTTCACTTCCTTCTACTAAAAACATGGAGACTATCAATAAACACACACACACACACACATTTTTATTTCAGTCATTTAGCAGACGCTCTTATCCAGAGCGACTTACAGTTAGTGAATACATTTTTTTTAAATACTGGCCCCCCGTGGGAATCGAACCCACAACCCTGGCGTTGCAAACGCCATGCTCTATCAACTCTGTCCCTGCCGGCCATTCCCTCCCCTACCCTGGACGACGCTGGGCCAATTGTGCGCCGCCCCATGGGTCTCCCGGTCGCGGCCGGCTGCGACAGAGCCTGGATTCGAACCAGGATCTCTAGTGGCACAGTTAGCACTGCGATGCAGTGCCTTAGACCACTGCGCCACACAGACACACACACAGACACACAGACACAAACACACACACACACACACAGACACACACACAGACACACACACACACACACACACACACACACACACACACACACACACAAGATGTCATTGCGTCAATAGAAGAGTGTATGTAAGAGCCATGTTCTTGTATGTCTCTGGTTTCCAGCCTGTCTCTATTCACTAACTGACACACAGAGCCTGTCTCTATTCACTAACTGACACACAGAGCCTGTCTCTATTCACTAACTGATACACAGAGCCTGTCTCTATTCACTAACTGATACACAGAGCCTGTCTCTATTCACTAACTGACACACAGAGCCTGTCTCTATTCACTAACTGATACACAGAGCCTGTCTCTATTCACTAACTGACACACAGAGCCTGTCTCTATTCACTAACTGACACACAGAGCCTGTCTCTATTCACTAACTGACACACAGAGCCTGTCTACCTATTCACTAACTGACACACAGAGCCTGTCTCTATTCACTAACTGATACACAGAGCCTGTCTCTATTCCAGTGGCGGCTCCTGAAAAAATTCTCAGGAGGGGCAATTTTTCTGATGATTTAGGTGACCTACACACATTTTAAAAAAGATATGTCCAGCAACAACATGAAGACAGGGGCAGCATATAAGTCAATACCAGAAGCATTTATTGACTGATCTGGGGAGATGGATTCCAGTTTCTGTGACAGATTATAAATAATCTCTGATGCCTTTGTTATATTAGCTGTTGGTTGAATGTACTGTCGTAGTAAATATATAATGTTATAGCTTGGTCTGACTAAAATCTTGTGCATGACCCATTTTGTGTTCAGTTCTTCCAACTCACGAGTTCTTGCTCTGAGGACACACACACACACACACACACATCATCACTGATAACACACACACACACACACACACATCATCACTGTTAAACACACACACACACACACACACAAAAATCCCCTCTCTTTAGGCTGAACATTTGAAGACAGAGAACCCGACTCAGAGCCAATGCAACAGTGGAGGGGTATGGACAGAGCAGACCCGCCTCCTACGCCTCGGGAACCAATCAAGGGACTAGAAGAAGGACCCCTTTTCTTTATGTTGCATTGTATAAAGTAATGCTAAAAACTCTGTTTTTGATCCCTTCTCAACTGTTCTCCATAAGAGGCAATTGAATGGGTCCATGCATGTAGCTTGAGCAGATACCAGCTATCTCTGTGTTTAATAAACTGCCTTTTTGCTTAAACATATTCCTCTCCGTTTAGCGTCGTTGGTATTGTACTTCCTCTCCTTATGATTACACCAACATTATCAACAGTACACAACGGTAACAAACTATTGGGGGAACTCACGGGGCAGATAGTAAGGTCGCAAATCGCAATGACACAGAAAGCAGTTCAATGTCGGGGTACAGTCGCTCTCTTACCAGGATCGCGGTCCGCTCTGACCAGGGTGAAGCCTGTCTCCCAGCTGTATTGGATTCCGCTTGCCAGCAGCGTTTTCATTATTTAGTCCGTTCGTAGCGGGTATGTACACGATCAACAAGATCAGTCCAAAACCGAAGATCAGTCCAAAGCAGAATGTTTGCAGAATGTTTGTAAACTAAGTCTACAAATTAAAAACATAAAATAACGCCACACTGCAGGTCGCAACATAGACGCTGCTAGCCGCCATTGTCTTAGTTACGTTCAACGTTACGTCACGTATGACGAAAGCGCGTAAGTGCATGCACATAGACACCCATAGAGAATGTATTGAAAGCTTTGAAATGTGAAAAAAATAGATTTTACATGACAGGCTATGAGAGACTTCTGGGCGATTTTCAACCTGACTGAAATCGCCCAAAAAACGGGCGGGGCCATTTGAAGCACGACTTTAGCCTGATTTGACATTTAGTGGCTGGCAGATCAGACGTGAACACTGATAACTGCTGTTGCCGTGATATAATTTTTTATAAATTTATTTAAAAAAAATATATATTTTTTATTTTTTTATTTATTTATAATTGATTAGAAAAAAAATCCCTTCCTTTTCCCGTTTGGCAGTGCGTCGCCCATATCGCCCTATTGAACAAGCCGTCCCTGCTCTATTCACTAACTGACACACAGAGCCTGTCTCTATTCACTAGAGAGAAGGAAGAGAGAGGAGGGAGAGAAGAGGAGAGGAGAGGAAGGAGAGAGAGGAGAGGAGGGAGAGAGGAGAGGAGGAAGAGAGAGGAGAGGAGAGGAGAGGAAGGAGAGAGGAGGAAGAGAGAGAAGAGGAGGGAGAGAGGAAGAAGAGAGGAGAAAGAGAGAGGTTAAGGTTAGGGCTCAGGCCTCAGGAATGGTTAAGGTTAGGTATGAGGTTCAGAGAGGTTTGGGATAGGGCTCAGGTCTCTGGGGTGGTTAGGGTTAGGCATGGGGTTCAGAGAGGTTAAGGTTAGGGGTTGGGTTAGGGCTCAGGCCTCAGGGTTAGGGTTAGGCATGGGGTTCAGAGAGGTTAAGGTTAGGGGTTGGGTTAGGGCTCAGGTCTCAGGGGTGGTTAGGGTTAGGCATGGGGTTCAGAGAGGTTAAGGTTAGGGTTAGGGTTAGGGCTCAGGTCTCAGGGTTAGGGTTAGGCATGGGGTTCAGAGAGGTTAAGGTTAGGGTTAGGGCTCAGGCCTCAGGGTTAGTGTTAGAATAGTTCCAGACAACAGTCCTTCAAAAGGAAAGGTCTATATACTAGGGTTAGGGTTATACTAGGGTTAGGGTTATACTAGGGTTAGGGTTATAGTTATACTAGGGTTAGGGTTATACTAGGCTGGTGATAGCTACAAGATCTATACATGTATATTTAGAAACACACCAGTCATTTAGCAGACGCTCTTATCCAGAGCGACTTAGAGTTAGTGCATACATTTTCCATACTGGCCCCACGTGGGAATCGAACCCACAACCCTGGCGTTGCAAGCGCCATGCTCTACCAACTCAGCTACAGGAAACCCGTTCCATGAAGCTCCCGACGAACAGTTCTTGTGCTGATGTTGCTTCCAGAGGCAGTTTGGAACTCTGTAGTGAGTGTTGTAACCAAGGACAGACGATTTTTACGTGCTTCAGCACTCGGCGGTCCCGTTCTGTGAACTTGTGTGGCCTACCACTTCGTGACTGAGCCGTTGTTGCTCCTAGACGTTTCCACTTCACAATAACAGCACTTACAGCAGCTCAAGCAGGGCAGACATTTGACAAACTGACTTGTTGGAAAGGTGAAAGAACAATGAATCAGAAGTGCTTCAAACAGAGGGAATATATGGGATGGGGGAGGAAGAATTCAATTCCTAGAAATATTCACTCCATTTTTTATTATTTTATTTTTTTGTAATTTATTTTACCCCCTTTTTCGATCTTGTCTCATCGCTGCAACTCCCCAACGGGCTCGCGAGGCGAAGGTCGAGTCATGCGTCCTCCGAAACATGACCCGCCGAACCACACTTCTTAACACCCGCCCACTTAACCCAGAAGCCAGCCGCACCAATGTGTCAGAGGTCAGCCTGCAGGCGCCCGGCCCGCCACAACGAGTCGCTAGAGAGCGATAACCCCCCCCCCCCCCCCCCCCCGGCCAAAAGAGGATCAAATGGTTCGTACTGTTCTAATCCATCGTCACTCAGCCAGTCTGTCTTTGAGTTTTTGACCACCCCATATTGGTCTGCAGGCCAAACATTCGAAGGTTCTCCACTGTATGAGCCCTACAGCAGACATACAACACAGTGGATCTATCACCCTTCTGAATGTGGTATCGATGTTGTCTAAATCTGCATTCCGGTGCGTTTTGTGTCTCTTCAATATAGAGTTTATGACAAACAAGGCACTCAATCACATAAACCACATGTCCAGTATCCAGTTGGACTTCATGCCTGATTGGAGCCCCCGAGCCTGAATGCCTATTGGATAGAAACTGTGTTTGGGTAAAGTGTTTATTCTGTACCAGTTTCTTCTTAGTCAGGCTTGAATGGACTAGGATGTCCTTCAGGCTTTTATTCCTCCTATAGGCTGAGATTACCCTGAATCAAAGCCCCACAATCATTCTGGGCCTGTTGAAAATGAGTTCAGAGTTGAACCCCACCAGAGCCTGAGAAAAAGACCCCACGAATGGAACCACAGGGCAGTTATCCCCCTCTACCTTCTACAGTATGAACCAGTTATCCCCCTCTACCTTCTACAGTATGAACCAGTTATCCCCCTCTACCTTCTACAGTATGAACCAGTTATCCCCCTCTACCTTCTACAGTATGAACCAGTTATCCCCCTCTACCTTCTACAGTATGAACCAGTTATCCCCCTCTACCTTCTACAGTATGAACCAGTTATCCCCCTCTACCTTCTACAGTATGAACCAGTTATCCCCCTCTACCTTCTACAGTATGAACCAGTTATCCCTCTCTACCTTCTACAGTATGAACCAGTTATCCCCCTCTACCTTCTACAGTATGAACCAGTTATCCCCTTCTACCTTCTACAGTATGAACCTTCTACAGTTATCCCCCTCTACCTTCTACAGTATGAACCAGTTATCCCCCTCTACCTTCTACAGTATGAACCAGTTATCCCCCTCTACCTTCTACAGTATGAACCAGTTATCCCCCTCTACCTTCTACAGTATGAACCAGTTATCCCCCCCTACCTTCTACAGTATGAACCAGTTAATCCCCTCTACCTTCTACAGTATGAACCAGTTATCCCCCTTTACCTTCTACAGTATGAACCAGTTATCCCCCTCTACCTTCTACAGTATGAACCAGTTATCCCCCTCTACCTTCTACAGTATGAACCAGTTATCCCCCTCTACCTTCTACAGTATGAACCACAGTTATCCCCCTCTACCTTCTACAGTATGAAACACAGTTATCCCCCTCTACCTTCTACAGTATGAACCAGTTATCCCCCTCTACCTTCTACAGTATGAACCAGTTATCCCCCTCTACCTTCTACAGTATGAACCAGTTATCCCCCTCTACCTTCTACAGTATGAACCAGTTATCCCCCTCTACCTTCTACAGTATGAACCAGTTATCCCCCTCTACCTTCTACAGTATGAACCAGTTATCCCCCTCTACCTTCTACAGTATGAACCAGTTAATCCCCCTCTACCTTCTACAGTATGAACCAGTTATCCCCCTCTACCTTCTACAGTATGAACCAGTTATCCCCCTCTACCTTCTACAGTATGAACCAGTTATCCCCCTCTACCTTCTACAGTATGAACCAGTTATCCCCCTCTACCTTCTACAGTATGAACCAGTTATCCCCCTCTACCTTCTACAGTATGAACCAGTTATCCCCCTCTACCTTCTACAGTATGAACCAGTTATCCCCCTCTACCTTCTACAGTATGAACCAGTTATCCCCCTCTACTTTCTACAGTATGAACCAGTTATCCCCCTCTACCTTCTACAGTATGAACCAGTTATCCCCCTTTACCTTCTACAGTATGAACCAGTTATCCCCCCTACCTTCTACAGTATGAACCAGTTATCCCCCTCTACCTTCTACAGTATGAACCAGTTATCCCCCTCTACCTTCTACAGTATGAACCAGTTATCCCCCTCTACCTTCTACAGTATGAACCAGTTATCCCCCTCTACCTTCTACAGTATGAACCAGTTATCCCCCTCTACCTTCTACAGTATGAACCACAGTTATCCCCCTCTACCTTCTACAGTATGAACCAGTTATCCCCCTCTACCTTCTACAGTATGAACCAGTTATCCCCCTCTACCTTCTACAGTATGAACCACAGTTATCCCCCTCTACCTTCTACAGTATGAACCACAGTTATCCCTCTCTACCTTCTACAGTATGAACCAGTTATCCCCCTCTACCTTCTACAGTATGAACCAGTTATCCCCCTCTACCTTCTACAGTATGAACCAGTTATCCCCCTCTACCTTCTACAGTATGAACCAGTTATCCCCCTCTACCTTCTACAGTATGAACCAGTTATCCCCCTCTACCTTCTACAGTATGAACCAGTTATCCCCCTCTACCTTGTACAGTATGAACCAGTTATCCCCCTCTACCTTCTACAGTATGAACCAGTTATCCCCCTCTACCTTGTACAGTATGAACCAGTTATCCCCCTCTACCTTCTACAGTATGAACCAGTTATCCCCCTCTACCTTGTACAGTATGAACCAGTTATCCCCCTCTACCTTCTACAGTATGAACCAGTTATCCCCCTCTACCTTGTACAGTATGAACCAGTTATCCCCCTCTACCTTCTACAGTATGAACCAGTTATCCCCCTCTACCTTCTACAGTATGAACCAGTTATCCCCCTCTACCTTCTACAGTATGAACCAGTTATCCCCCTCTACCTTCTACAGTATGAACCAGTTATCCCCCTCTACCTTCTACAGTATGAACCAGTTATCCCCCTCTACCTTCTATGTTCCATGGGTCTGGAAGGTCTGATTGGCCTCAGCCTTAACCTCTCTCAGGAACCACCTGGAGTAGCCCCTGGGTCTGATTGGCCTCAGCCTTAACCTCTCTCAGGAACCACCTGGAGTAGCCCCTGGGTCTGATTGACCTCAGCCTTAACCTCTCTGAGGAACCACCTGGAGTAGCCCCTGGGCCTGATTGACCTCAGCCTTAACCTCTCTCAGGAACCACCTGGAGTAGCCCCTGGGTCTGATTGGCCTCAGCCTTAACCTCTCTCAGGAACCACCTGGAGTAGCCCCTGGGTCTGATTGGCCTCAGCCTTAACCTCTCTCAGGAACCACCTGGAGTAGCCCCTGGGCCTTAATGCTGAGAAGAGGATTATTGTGGCCTCCTCTATATCCCCAGGGAAACTACAGATTCCTCCTCTATATCCCCAGGGAAACTACAGATTCCTGCTCTATATCCCCAGGGAAACTACAGATTCCTGCTCTATATCCCCAGGGAAACTACAGATTCCTCCTCTATATCCCCAGGGAAACTACAGATTCCTCCTCTATATCCCCAGGGAAACTACAGATTCCTCCTCTATATCCCCAGGGAAACTACAGATTCCTCCTCTATATCCCCAGGGAAACTACAGATTCCTCCTCTATATCCCCAGGGAAACTACAGATTCTGTGGAAACGTATCAGTTGTGATTTGATCAAACCCCTATATGTGTGTTTTGGATGGAAACTGGATTTGTGAAGGAGGGCATGTCTATCTGTTTCCTTAAAGAAAACTTTAGTTACCAATTGTTTGGTTTCGTCCTCCTTGTGAATGAAAAACACCTGTGTATCTAGAAATTCCCAAATTCAGAGCTGGAGCCCCCCACAATCCAAACATATCATCTAGATACCTCAGGTACAGCAATGGTAAGGGCTTACATTTAAGGAAAGCACTTTCTTCCCAAAAACAAATGTACAAATTTGCTAAACTTGGCGTGAATTTCTTTCCCATGGATGTGTATCTGGAGGTAGTACTTCTCATTGAACTCAAAGTCGTTTCTGGTCAAGAACCAATGGGACATCGTGTTTGACATTATCTAATTGTCTATTAGCTTAAAGAAGATATTGACCTTTATCCATTATAACAATTTGAGACCCCTTATCTGCTGGTTTAATCACAATAGTCTGATTGCTGCTCAATGTTTTTAGAGCTTGATTCTGTTGCTTTGTGAGATTAAACTTATTTACAGGTCTGGGTCTGAATTGTGAAAAGGAAGCCACATCCCTCCGTATAAGGGTCTGTATGGGAATCCACATCCCTACGTATAAGGGTCTGTATAGGAAGCCACATCCCTCCGTATAAGGGTCTGTATAGGAAGCCACATCCCTCCGTATAAGGGTCTGTATGGGAAGCCACATCCCTACGTATAAGGGTCTGTATAGGAAGCCACATCCCTACGTATAAGGGTCTGTATGGGAAGCCACATCCCTACGTATAAGGGTCTGTATGGGAAGCCACATCCCTACGTATAAGGGTCTGTATGGGAAGCCACATCCCTACGTATAAGGGTCTGTATGGGAAGCCACATCCCTACGTATAAGGGTCTGTATGGGAAGCCACATCCCTACGTATAAGGGTCTGTATGGGAATCCACATCCCTACGTATAAGGGTCTGTATAGGTTCTGACACTGACTCCAACTGAGGTTCCCAATGTGAGGGGTTTGGAAATGGTGTACGGGGTAAATCTATTTCATAATCAAAATGGTCTAATCATTTCAATCTTCTATGATATTCGGTGTAGATCCCCCCCGGAGCTCCCCGCGGTCCACCCGTTTAGGAGTTGGTATGAAAGTCAGTCCTCTTTCTAGAACCTCACTCTCAGCTTGGTTGAGCCTGAAGCGGGAAGGGTTTTAACGTTATAATGTTGTGGAGTTGTAAGAGAACAGTCCTCCCTATTAAAGGTCATCCAAAAAGTCCCATCTCTCCCCTAAGGTCTTATACAGCTTCTGTACCAGACACTGCTGATCCTTAGCTGGTCTATCTGAGTAATGTACGAGTGGTACGTAGACGGCTGCATTGGGGAAGGCCTCCTTACTAGTCCTCAACAGTTTCTGTAGCTGCTTCCAATATGTAGTCGGCCTTTGGCTCCACCTGACAATTGTTGAGGCCTAAAGACAACCCTACCTTCTCTGTCCTTGGGTTTGGTTGGAGCTTCTTGAAAACACCGTTAATATGATAGAAGGTGGCCCCAGGTAATATATCCACCTGTACATGAGAATAAAAATAAATAAATGTGGAATGCGTGCTAGATTAGAATCCCCCACAATCACTGTTGGTTTATCTACCTGTATTTCCCACTCCTGAATCTTCCTCTCTGACCTAGGGTGTCTTATTGGTTCCAGTCCTGAATCTCCCTCTCTGACCTAGGGTGTCTTATTGGTTCCAATCCTGAATCTCCCTCTCTGACCTAGGGTGTCTTATTGGTTCCAGTCCTGAATCTTCCTCTCTGACCTAGGGTGTCTTATTGGTTCCAGTCCTGAATCTCCCTCTCTGACCTAGGGTGTCTTATTGGTTCTAGTCCTGAATCTTCCTCTCTGACCTAGGGTGTCTTATTGGTTCTAGTCCTGAATCTTCCCCTCTGACCTAGGGTGTCTTATTGGTTCCAGGTGTGGAGCAGGAACAGACCCATGTGGTGGACATGTCTTTAAAATGTTAGTAGGGGACTCAGATTGGGAATCACTCCGAGAACACTGGCATTTAGGAGTACCACCCCATCATCACTTCCTGTCCACCTATTGGCTGTACCTTGACAATAGCACACTGAGCCTGCTCCGCTCCACCCCGGGACACCTGCTGTTCTGTGTCTGGAGGAGAAGCAGAACAGATGGAGTTACTACATTCGGGTTAGGGTTAGGCCAGTAGATTAGGACCTGGGATCAGCAGGACTACAGAGGAGTGATCCTACCAGACCTGACCTGGGATCAAGTTCAGCCTGGCTGATTGACAGGAGATGACCAATAGAAAGTTCAGCCTGACTGATTGACAGGAGATGGACCAATAGAAATTTCAGCCTGACTGATTGAAAGGAGATGGACCAATAGAAAGTTCAGCCTGACTGATTGACAGGAGATGGACCAATAGAAAGTTCAGCCTGACTGATTGACAGGAGATGACCAATGGGGGATAGATCCCGATATGAATGAGCGGATAGATTGTCCCATTGAAGTAGCAGTCAGTTAAGGAGTAGACATGAGACCCCCCCCCCTGTCTCCACATAATAGGAGACCAGAAGCCCCACCCCAGTATAATATTGCAACGGTCCAAATGACCTGTTTCCTGTTTCAGGATGAGTCTGAGATGTTCTGTATCAGGTTCCAGATTAACATCCATCTGTTGACAGGATGAGTCTGAAATGTTCTGTATCAGGTTCCAGATTAACATCCATCTGTTGACAGGATGAGTCTGAGATGTTCTGTATCAGGTTCCAGATTAACATCCATCTGTTGACAGGATGAGTCTGAGATGTTCTGTATCAGGTTCCAGATTAACATCCATCTGTTGACAGGATGAGTCTGAGATGTTCTGTATCAGGTTCCAGATTAACATCCATCTGTTGACAGGATGAGTCTGAGATGTTCTGTATCAGGTTCCAGATTAACATCCATCTGTTGACAGGATGAGTCTGAGATGTTCTGTATCAGGTTCCAGATTAACATCCATCTGTTGACAGGATGAGTCTGAGATGTTCTGTATCAGGGTCCAGATTAACATCCATCTGTTGACAGAATGAGTCTGAGATGTTCTGTATCAGGTTCCAGATTAACATCCATCTGTTGACAGGATGAGTCTGAGATGTTCTGTATCAGGGTCCAGATTAACATCCATCTGTTGACAGGATGAGTCTGAGATGTTCTGTATCAGGGTCCAGATTAACATCCATCTGTTGACAGGATGAGTCTGAGATGTTCTGTATCAGGGTCCAGATTAACATCCATCTGTTGACAGGATGAGTCTGAGATGTTCTGTATCAGGTTCCAGATTAACATCCATCTGTTGACAGGATGAGTCTGAGATGTTCTGTATCAGGGTCCAGATTAACATCCATCTGTTGACAGGATGAGTCTGAGATGTTCTGTATCAGGTTCCAGATTAACATCCATCTGTTGACAGGATGAGTCTGAGATGTTCTGTATCAGGGTCCAGATTAACATCCATCTGTTGACAGGATGAGTCTGAGATGTTCTGTATCAGGTTCCAGATTAACATCCATCTGTTGACAGGATGAGTCTGAGATGTTCTGTATCAGGTTCCAGATTAACATCCATCTGTTGACAGGATGAGTCTGAGATGTTCTGTATCAGGTTCCAGATTAACATCCATCTGTTGACAGGATGAGTCTGAGATGTTCTGTATCAGGGTCCAGATTAACATCCATCTGTTGACAGGATGAGTCTGAGATGTTCTGTATCAGGGTCCAGATTAACATCCATCTGTTGACAGGATGAGTCTGAGATGTTCTGTATCAGGGTCCAGATTAACATCCATCTGTTGACAGGATGAGTCTGAGATGTTCTGTATCAGGGTCCAGATTAACATCCATCTGTTGACAGGATGAGTCTGAGATGTTCTGTATCAGGTTCCAGATTAACATCCATCTGTTGACAGGATGAGTCTGAGATGTTCTGTATCAGGTTCCAGATTAACATCCATCTGTTGACAGGATGAGTCTGAGATGTTCTGTATCAGGGTCCAGATTAACATCCATCTGTTGACAGGATGAGTCTGAGATGTTCTGTATCAGGTTCCAGATTAACATCCATCTGTTGACAGGATGAGTCTGAGATGTTCTGTATCAGGTTCAAGATTAACGTCCATCTGTTGACAGGATGAGTCTGAGATGTTCTGTATCAGGTTCCAGATTAACATCCATCTGTTGACAGGATGAGTCTGAGATGTTCTGTATCAGGTTCCAGATTAACGTCCATCTGTTGACAGGATGAGTCTGAGATGTTCTGTATCAGGTTCCAGATTAACATCCATCTGTTGACAGGATGAGTCTGAGATGTTCTGTATCAGGGTCCAGATTAACATCCATCTGTTGACAGGATGAGTCTG